GATGGATGGATTGATGGATGATAAATAGGATGGATGGATTGATGGATGATAAATTTGATGGATGATAAATATGATGGATGGATTGACGAATAGATACGATGGATGGATGGATTGATGGGTGATATATACGATGGATGGATTGGTGGATAATAGATATGATGGATAGATTGATGAATGGATACGATGGATGGATTGATGGATGATAGATATGGTGGATGGGTTGAAGAATAGATACAATGGATGGGTTGAAGAATAGACACAATGGATGGGTTGAAGAATAGATACAATGGATGGATGGATGAATAGATAGGATGGATGAATGGATTGACGGGTGATAGATACGGTGGATGGATTATTAGATCAGTCAGAGAGACAGACAGAAATCAATCAGTAGATGATAGAGATAAGAATTCTTTATGAGGTGGTTGTGGGGCTGTGCCAGGTTAGACCAACGTTTTGGAGAGTACACAGTTCGATACGCAGTCAAGTGACCCATCTTCATCCTTTTCAGAACCAGCATAGGTCCACCTCTCTCTCTTTCCCCGCAGGGAACCTTCCGCCGCCATGCGCCTCTGCTTCGGAAGAAGCTGCCGAAAATTCTCCCCTCCACCGGCTGATGAACTGCCTGAAGGAAATCCCCATCCAACGGCCAAGTTATCTCAACTCACCGAGCGCGTTCTCCTCTTCCTCCCCCTCCTCCTCCTCCTCCTCCTCCTCCTCCTCCTCTTCCTCCTCCTCCAGCTGCAGTGAAACGGAAAGGGACCAGCAGAGCCCAGGAAGTTCCACCTGGTGGGACGGGAGCCAAGGTCGGCCTCAGTTGCCAGGTGGGTTTGGGGAGGGTCCTGGGTGTTTGAGAGGAGCGGGAATAAAAACTGACCAGATCCGTAGTTCCCCCAACCCTTCTGGCTTTGTGGACCCGCGGTGGTGGTGGCAGGGAGGAGGAAGAAGGGACGGTTTTCCGTCAAAGTGCTGCCACTTGCACAATCAGAGCTGTGCGCGTGGTTCTCCAACGCTTGTGTTGACCGGTTCAGAACGGGCTGTGGCCCAGTAATCAGGCCGTGGCGAGGGCAGTGGGGGGCCCTGGTCCAGATGAACCTCTCGAATCAAAGATCTCCTGTCACGTCCAGAGCGGAGATCTTCCCTTCTTGGACAGGTTCAGTTAACGTGGTTCTCGACTTTCTACACCCGTTCCCAGGATCCGAGAGCAATGTTCTTGTAGGACCAAAGGTGATGACGGAGGCCAAGAGGAAGCGCGAATGTGCTCAGCTCCATTTGTAAAAAGCGGCAGGCATGCCTGCCACTTGCACAATCGGAGCTGTGCGCACGGTCCTCCAATGCTTGTGCAGACCGGTTTAGAACATGCCGCAACTCAGTAGCAGGCCGTAGCTCGGGCGGTTGGGGGAACCACGGTCCAGACAAGCCTTGAATCAATACCTCTCGAGTGCAGAATATGAGACATGAGACCTTGCATCTTGGACACTTCCAGTTAACGTGGCTTCTCGGTTTTCTACATAGGATCCGAGAGGGATGCCCTTGTGGGACGGAAGGTGACAATGGAGCCCAAGAGGAAGCGTCCATCCACCCAACGTCCTGCAGAAGAGGAAGAGCAGTTGTCCTCCACGCAAGAGGCCAACTTTGCCAACGGGGGTGATGAAGCCTCTCTCCTTAGTCACCCACAGAACGATGCGAAGGACACTGCAGATGTCAAGCGGATGTTCCCGTCCACCCATCCTCTAAGATGCTCCAGAGCTCGGCAGAACGTGATGTCCAGATCATCTGAAGCAAGGGAAGATGGGCCACCTTCCACACGTATGTAACACGGAGGCGACTTTTAGGACAATGAGTTGACCTCTGCGGGCACCTTAAATCAGGATCTTGGAGGATCCTGGTTTGCTGGGAGAGGGACAATTCTTTGGAGTACTTCAAGGGCTCCATGGGGGAGAGCAGGAAGGACAAAGTATAGATGATGGAATCCTAGAGCAGGAAGGGACGTTGGAGGTCTTCTAGACCAGCTCCAAGGCAGGAGGTCATTCTTCCATCCTAGATGTTCAATCATCCAATCTTTCCTTGAAAACCTCCAGTGGAAGGAGCAGATTATCAGGGCCCAGGAGATCTTGGTCGGCTCTTGGTGGCCCCCTTGTTCCTTCCTTGGTATCGCATTGGACCCCTTGGATAACGATGGGGAAATCTCAGATAGCCTAAAGTAGAGTGAGGAGAAGGAAGTTTCCAGAAGGAAACTTAATTGAATGTCTCACTGTCAGGGTTCCAGCGATTGCCCTAATTAAATCATGAGCCTCAAGCCAAGCTTCAAAAGAATTCAAAAGATTTATTAGGAGAAACATGCCGGCATTAATCTAAATGAAGCCAACTCTGTCGTAAGTAATTCACAGTCACCTGTGAACCCTGTTCCCCCCCCCCCCCCCCCCTGGGTGTGTCATAAATCAGATTCTCTAATGAAGCACATTCACCAATGAAGGATTTTCTTGGGCAGAAGATCCGGTAGCCTAGCTACAATCTTTGTCAGATAAAGGGTGGAATGTACTTCAGGTTTTAAACTGCCATAATGCTCCTTCAGATTTCCTTCCCCACCCGCCGCTTTGTTTATGGCAACTCGAAAACAGGCATAGGAATGCTTTACGAGTTGACACTCACGATCAAGGACTCTCACTGCCTGGAAGGTTAACCAAACCAGGTCAGGAGAAGTCAGACCAAGCCAAGTGTGATGACTTATACTGTCTACCCATCAGAGGAGTAGCTGGAGAACCTTCTCAGATCTCCTCCACTCTTAAAATAACCTCTGAGTGATTTCTGGAGTAAGGAACCATCTGTGAAACTTGGGGTGTCCAACTGTGGTAGTTATCTACCCTATGTTGTTCACCTTCTCGGCGCAGTTCTTGTCCACGAGATCTTCACCCGTGAGTGGCAGAAGAGCCCAAGAGGCACAGCACCAGTCCAGACCCCAACATGTTTCAGCCCCCTGAGCCATAATTCCCAGGATGGGACACCTGAAGGAGACACGGACTGGAGTCCGGGAGAAGAGCAGATCCAACCACAGCCTGGGGGCAAAGGTGGGCAGCCTCAGCTGGGACTGTTGATGGGACTTGGGACTCCTCCTCCTCCTCCTCCTCCTCCTCCTTTCTGGAAAATCAACTCCCTTCTAGCCCTGATGATGTTCCCTAGTTGGATCGTGAAACATCTGCAAGTAAACCATCCCGCTCAGAGACCCCCAGGGATCCCCCCTCCCGGTTCTATTCTGAGCTGCTATTAGAAGATGGGGATGAGCACTTCCCAGCTCTATCTGCCATTGCCCCGAGTTCCAATTCCACTTCCCTTTGGATGGGAGAAGATGCCAGTGTGTTTTTCTGCCATACTGGGCAAAGTTGTCCGGGAAGGATTTGATGTGGGGGCAGGAGTGGATTGTAATCTGCCTTAGCCAGAGGGGGTCTTCAGCCGGTTCAGACCAGTTCTGCAGAACCGTTAGCGGAAATTTTGAGTAATTGGGAGAACCGGCCAATGCCGCCTCTGACTGGCTCCACCAACCCCATCTCTTCTCTGCCTCCCACTGAGTCCCAGCTGATCGGCTGGGTCTCCTTTGGTTGCCCTGCACAGGAGAACGGAGCTGGAAAGCAGGTTAGTGGGGTGGGGAGGGAAGGGGGATTTGGCAGTATCCTTCCCCTGCCACGCCCACGAAGCCACGCCCACCAGGCCACAGAACTGGTAGTAATTTTTTTTGAATCCCACCATGGCCTTAGCTAATGGCAGGATGGTGTTTCTCTCTTGGCCCAGAGGCGGGGTCCGGAAGCCCCCTCCAGGGCCTGCTCAGGTGCCTCAAGGAGATCACCCAACCAAGCGCCCCCAGTCCCTGCCCCTCCTCGGCCGGGAAGAGGCCCAGAGAATCCAGGTACACCCAGGAGGAAGAGGAGGAGGAGGAGGAAGCAGCCCGTTGCAAGAAGAAACCCTGGCAAAGCGAGTCTGGTGAGATAGACCTGCCGGCTGCGGGATTCTGGGAGTTGAAGTCCTCCCTTCTTGAAGCGTGGGAGATTCTGGGAGTTGAAGTCCTCCCTTCTTGAAGCGTGGGGGATTCTGGGAGCTGAAGTCCACCCTTCTTGAAGCGTGGGGGATTCTGGGAGTTGAAGTCCACCCTTCTTGAAGTGTGGGGGATTCTGGGAGTTGAAGTCCTCCCTTTTTGAAGCGTGGGGGATTCTGGGAGTTGAAGTCCGCCCCCTTTTGAAGCCCACCATCTAACCCGACGGAATCTCTTGGCGTCTCTATAGGCGCTGTCCCTTCCAGCTTCCCCACCTCTGACGCGGAAACCCGGGGGACTCGACCAAACGGCCATTCCCATTCTTCGAACACCAGGTCCTCTGCCCATAAGCAGAGCGAGCCTCCCAGGTGGAGTCCCTCGGTTTTGTTTTGGATGGACACCCAAAGGACTTCCGCGACGGGTGAGGAGGGCCGAGACTTGAATAAGAACTGGGAAGCGTTGTGGGCGTCGGTTGAGTCCCCGCCACCTGCCTGGGAAAAGCGGGGATCGGAACCCCAGATCTCCAGGGATGCGAGGGGGGGGGGGAAATTGGGAAAGAAATGGCATTTGGCACTTAAGTCAGATTGCCTCTTTTTTTTGGTGGGGAGGGGGAGAAGTAGTGGCTAAGGATGGGCGGGGGTGACTTAAAAAACCCCAGCAACCAGTTTGCTGCCTGGTTGCTGGGTGGGCGTGGCCATGGCAGGCGTGGCCTACCAGAAATTCCAATTTTCCAGTTTCCGGTGGGCCTCCGGAGGCCGGGAGAGGCCATTTTTGCCCTCCCAAGGGTCCAGAGGCCCTTCAGAGGCCCGAAACAGGCCCCTTCCCCCGCATGAGCCTCCATACCTACCCGGCACTTACCTGCATGGAAAATGGGCTGCGTTGAGGCTCCTGGGAGGGGATGGGTGGAAGGGGCGGGGCCAGCCAGTTGTTTGAAATACCAGTTCAGTGGACCAGATGTAACTTTAACATCCGGTTCTCCTGAACTGGTCCAAACCGGTAGAATCCCACCTCTGCTTAAACCTGAGCCAACCATGTGCAGCCACCACCGAAAAAAAAGCGAAGACAATCCTCGGTTGTATCAACAGAGGCATAGAATAGAAATCAGGGAAATCAGCTCCGCTTTGTAAAGCCTTAGTAAGGCCATCCCTGGAATCCTGCATGCAGTTTTGGTCCCCACGTTACAAAAAGAAAAAAGAAAAAAAGAGGTTAAAACTTTGGAAAAAGAGCAGAGAAGAGCAACTAAGAGGATTAAAGGCCTCTTAGTTAAAACATACAAAGAACGTCTGCAGGATTTGGGTTTGGCTAATCTAGAGAAAAGAAGGAGTAAGGCTGGAGTGGGACCGGGATAACAGGATGCTCGAGCAGGGGTTTGGACTAGATGACCTCCGAGGCCCCTGCTACCTTTGTCATTCTATGATTTTATAAGGGTCTCCTGCTTGAGTAGGGGGGGTTGGACTAGATGACCTCCAAGGTCTATACCAACTCTGTCATTCTGTAAGGGTCTCCTGCTTGAGCAGTGGGTTGGACTAGATGACCTGCAAGGTCCCTTCCAACTCCATTCCAATCGATCGATGGATCGATTGATAAAGTCCCACCAGAGAGAAGGGCAGGGTCTCACAGATTATCTCCCTTCCCCTTTCGCAGCTGGAGACAAGGGGAGCCCCTCGGCCCCAGAGGCAGGACCAGAGGCAAAGAAGAGACCCCACGAGGCGGCCCATCTCTGCCACTGTGCCCATGGGGCTGAGCCGGGGTTCGCACAGCCCCTCCTGTCCAAACAATTGGGCCGTCTAGCCGCCGACGTGAACGGGCTCTGCCGGGACTTGTCCAGCCTCCAGAGCCACGTCTGGCGTCTGGAGCAGGAGGCGCGGGGCTGGGCACTGGAGCTGGCTGCACTGCACCTGGAGAACCGGCGCCTGGCCAAGTACGCCCGGCGCCTGGAGAGCCGCTGCCAGGTTCTGGAGACCCGCTCCCGCCGTCTCAACCTGCGCCTCTCGGGTTTGCCCGAGGGGGTGGAAGGAGGTGACCTGGTGGCCTTCCTCCGACGGACCCTGCCGGAGGTGTTGGGCTGGTCGTCGGGAGGGCCAGCGTTGGAGATTGAGAGTGCCCGGAGAGTTGGTGGTCAGGATTCGACCACCAAGCCGCGCCCGGTGCTCTTCCGCCTGTTGCACTCGGCTGACAAAGCTGCTGTGCTGGAAGCAGCCCGCACTCGGCCACTACGCTTCGCCGAGGCACAACTTGCTATCCTACCCGACCTTGGCGCCCCACAGAGGAGACCTCCTCTCGGCCCATTCCGGAGGAGCCATTGGGTGGTCGACCTGCTTTTGGGGGGGCAGTCCCCTGCCCCATGGGGCTTGGGCAGGGGTCCAGCTTGGCGGGAGCCGCCCATCCCTTGCACACCGCTGGCGGCCAAAGCCCCTCCGGGGACGCTGGGGTCTCATGCTCAACCCAACCCATGAGGCACTGTCAAGGGAGGGTTCTGAAAAGCGAGACTTTCCTCTCTCCCATCGGGCAGAGGGTGATGGGCTGAATGAACCCCCCAGCTGTTTTTCCATAGGTTCATTGTAAGGGAGGGGAGGGGGTTTAATAATTGGGTGGGGGGACGGTCAATCACCAGGAGACAGCGAGTTCTAGTCCTGCCTCAGGCATGAAATCCTTCTCAATGACTTCTAGGCCAATCACTGGGTGACTGAGTTCTAGTCCCGCTTTAACCATGAAAGCTAGCTGGGTAACTTTGAACCAATCACCAGGAGATTGTGAGTTCTAGTTCCACGAGGCATGAAAGCTGGCTGGTCACTTTGGGCTGATCACCAGGTGGCTCTGAGTACGAGTTCTATTCCAGGCCCGAAAGCCAGCTGGGGTGTGTGTGTATGTGTGTGTGAAAGAGAGAGAGAGGGAGAGAAAGAGAGAGAGAGACCTTGGCCACTTCCTCTCTCTCCCTGCCCAACCCACCTCACAGGGTTGTCATGAGGAGGGAAATAGGAGGAAGAAGGAATGTTATGTATATCTACCACCTTTTCTTGTAAAGTAATAAAGGTGGGATTAAAATAAATAAATAAAATATCTAAGAAATTATCTAAGAAATAAAAGAACGTGTTTTGCGTGATGGTTTGGGAACAATTCTGGGGCTACTGTTTGCTATGATGATGCCACCCCACCACTTCCACTTCTCCTGGGTACACATCTATCCAGACAAATATTATCAAATTTCTAGTCCTCCGTACTTCTCCGTGATATTAACCGAGCATGTTTGAGCTGCTGTCGAATTCTTCCCTCGAACCTGATGCTTTGAGAGTTCCCCGAAGATATAAGCACGTGGGGAGGTTGTTTATTTTTGTCAATGTTCCTATAGTTGATCGGTTGGTGAGTGCTGAGACAATCTGCACTGTGATTGGTCGCTTTGCGGGTGGAGGGGGAGTCCCCCTTTTTGCCCCGCCGTTTTTCTTCTGTCTGCCCTGTGCGCTCTGTCCTTGACCTCATAATATTCCTCACGATTTACCTCACGATGTTCCTGTTTGCCTGACTATCTTGTTTGCGGTAAACGTAGATGTCAAATACAATTATCTATTATAAACCAACAAGTTCATGTCAGCATCTCTGACTCCATTTGGAGACCAGCTGAGCAATTCCCTCACACAGATCTTCCAAATTATCTGCTCCTTGGCTGCCTGAATGGGAAATGGATTTCAACATGTTCACATTTCTTTACAAGATTTTTCTTTTCACAGGCAATATGCATCCCATGTGCCCTATATAGTTGATTGGTTGGTGAGTGCTGGCTCCTGCCTGAGGCAGTCTGCACTGTGATTGGTTGTTGTGGGGGTAGAGGGGGAGTTCCCCTTTTTCCCCGCCTTTTTTCTTCTATCTGTTCTGTGCACTCTGTTGTTGACCTCATAATTTACCTCATGATTTACCTCATGATGCTCCTGTTTGCCTGACTATCTTGTTTGCGGTAAACATAGAGGTCAACTACATTTATTATAAAATGACAAGTTGGTGTCAAGGGTCTCTATTTGAAAGCCAGCTGTCGCACAGATCTTCCGATTTATCCTCTCTCTGGCTGCCTGAATGGGAAACGGATTTTATCTCATCCATGTTCCTTTACAAGATTTTGCTTCTCACAGACGATATGCCTCCCAGGCGCCCACTAAAGCCTGGGAAGACAGCCACACCCTCCTCAAATATGGTGGAGGTCTCTGATGCTGCTTTCCACCCTGTGTTAATCCATGGTTCGTTTGAACCACAGGTTTGGATCTTGGTTTGGGGAGATCACATGGTTCCTGTGGGCCTCCATGTCAAACTTACGGAGTTAGAAAGCTCTAAAGGGGTTCAATGATTTACGGCCGTGTTTCTCAGCCTTGGCAACTTGAGAGGGGAGAGGAAAGAAAGGGAAGGGACAGGAAGGAATCAATCAATCAGAATAGAGCTGGAAGGGACTTTGAAAGTCTTCTAGTCTGTTATTCTGTATGGGTCTCCTGCTTGAGCAGAGGGTTGGACTAGATGACCCCTCAGCCACTTTCAGCTAGCCAAGGATGAGAAATAGCTGGATGGATGGGAGATGGGTGTGTGTGGATAGATGGGTTGCAAAGATGAATGGATGGATTGCAAAGAGGGAGGGAGAGGAAGAGATCAGAGCTTCTCATCAGGCTGGCTGGGGAATTCTGGAAGTCAGGCCACCTTCAAGTCACCAAGCTTAACAACTACCTGAATGGGGAGGCTTCCGGTTTTGAGCTTCCGCGAAGACAGACCGTTGACCACGATTGTGCGTGGCTTTGGTCTGTACTTTGGTGTCAGAGATCCTTTGGATTTGGGGCATAAGCCACCTTGTAGGGGTGGCGGAGGAAGAGGAGACCGTCGGCTGGGTAGAGGGGAGTCGCAAATCCCCTCCCTGGCTTGGCATTTACTCCCTCCCAAAGGTGCCTGAAGCGGTGGTCTAAAATGGCCACCCTCAAGGGGAAGATTAGACTGGAATAAGATTGTGCAGGAGAGAGAGAAAGAAACGAACAGCAGGAGGAATCGGACAATATAATTAAATGGAAGATACCCCCAGGATTAACATTTTAAAGAATTTTTAAGAAAGGATTCAAAGCAGTGAAGAGAAGATGAAAAAAAAGGTGTGAATTGCTCTTGACAGTGGCGGAGCTCTAAACCGTGAAAGGTAGAAGCTGGAGCAGGAATCATATAATCAACTTGGATAAGTATATTTTGATTCTATATAAGCATCAATAAAGCTGAACTATAGATTGTTAAAGAGGAAATTTAATATCAATTGGATTTGATCTTTTTTTTTCTTGGAAAACTGGCTTAAAAAGCTCTGCATAATAGAGAAGAAAAAAGAAACGGGGTGAAGTTTTAGCATAACAAAGAGTGTCATCTAAGTTAAACTTGTTTTTCTTTTTAAATATGGAAAATTTATACAATAAAGCAAGAACTTTGAAAAACTGAAACATTGTAACAAAGAAAGATACCGGAAGATTCTGCCCTTGGATTATTTGTTGATTCTGATATGGATTTAGCATTTGGATCAGCGGAGGCTTAAAACTTGAGAGGAAGAAAATAAAAGTTGACTGTTAGGAATAAACTTTAAAGAAACTATTTGGATTAAATTGCTAATTAGAAAGTTGTAAAATGGCGATATCTCTTCTGGCATAAAAAATGGAACTTAGAAAAACAAAAGACATACTACAAGAACCAGGTGAATTACTGGGTTTTGCTTTAAAATTTATTGAAAATGCGATTGCAGAATATGAACACCAAAGACAAAAGGCAGAAGAGGAGGCGGAGCGAATTATTGAAGGGCCATCTTTGGTGATCATCGAGAACAAAGAACTCTGGAAAGAAAGAGGGAAAGAGTTGGAAATAAATATAGGAGATTTAAGAAATTTAATAAAAAGGGGAATATCCGAAAAATTAAAAAAGGGGAAAAGAGTCAGCAGAAATTCGAAGGGCGGAAGGAAGCTGTAAATAGAGAGGGGGATAAAAATTGGAGTGAAAGAATAAAGGAGAAAGGACAAGGGGAAGAGGGGACAAGAAACAGGATTTGGGGGAAAAGAAATATGGGAATTATTAAAAAAAATGGGGAAAAATTGCTTAATGAGAAACAGAGATAATGGGTGATTAATATTTAGAAAGGGGATTCTGCAAAGTATTGAGGGGTAATATAAACAAATTCATAGTTATGAATTAGGGACATATAGATTGATAAGATGGAAAATAGAATTGTTATTTTTTGATACTGGAATTTAATGCTCTTCTTCTGTGTGCATAGAGATAATTGTAATAAATAATGTAAAAAGCTTATTAAATACATTGAAATATTTTTAGGATTGGAATGTTGTTGTTTTTTGTTCAAATATGAATGGAATAATTAATGGAATATGTGTATTAAATATATTGAAATAAATGAAATTATATAGGAGGAAAGCTGAAATGGAATTAATTTTAGGGCTTAGGATTGGTTTATGGTTTGAATGAGTAGATTAATATGTCCTTCTTTTCTGAAAAAATTAATGAAATTAAAAAGGGATAAAACCATGCAGAATCTGATTTATATGTGCTATGTAGTTTTAAAGGGATTATTAAGTTTAATGTTTTCGGTAATGATGTTAAATGTTTAATGAGATTTAGAAGGGGTGAAAATTAGTGAATATGTAACTTAGAGGTGGGGCACTTTTACTGATATTTCAAGGGGGAAACCAATTTATATAAGAAGTGTTTAACTAGAATTTAAGATGAAATATACAAATGCGACAGTTTAAAGTACTAAAGTATAAAGATTATGAAGTTAACATAACGTGAATTAAATAATAAGTATTCGGAATAATATGATAAAATAGAAAATGTATAAAAACATTGTTAAGATAAGAAACTGAATACAAAAATTGAATATGTAACTATGATCATATTTGTATGTATATGTGAAACCTGTAATCATGCTGTTCACTAAAAAGAGATGTTAAAATGTCGAAAACTGAATAAAACTTGTTTTAAAAAAAAGGACTACCTGGATGGGCAGGCAAAGGGAGGGAGGCCGATTTTGGGGCTTCTCAGCATGCTGGCTGGGGAATTGGGGGAGTTGATGTCCAGCCACTTTCAAGTTGCGAAGCTTCCGGAACACCTGGACGGATGGTCAGGTGGACGGAGGGAGGGAGGGAGATCGATCAGGGCTCCTCAGATCGGTCGTTGAGGCCACTTGGAGGTTTGTCTCTGTGTCCTCAGCGTCACCTGAGCGGGGCAAATGGGCGTGGAGCTTCACCTAAGTTGTGAAAATGGATGTGGTGACCCTGAGAAAACCGATCAACCTCCAAGCGGCCTCAAGGGCTCTCCAAAAGGATGCAAATGACCAGCTGCCTGCAACAAGTATCAACCCTTCCCCTCCCCCCACCATCCAGTCAGAGCTGGGGAAGCTGCTCGGATGAGAAGCGAAACGCCTTCAAAGAGAGATCGGAAAGTCCAGTCGTGTCTCCTGAGAAAACGCACTTTTGGGAAAAGCAATATATATTATCGCTGGATCCCCGTGTTTTGCTACAAAACTATGTGGTCGGGCTTAGCTTTTGGGGAGGAAAGTAAGGGGGGAAATTCTGCCTCTTGCCTAACAGCATCCATCGGTATTCATCTTGCTAGCGTCCTGCCAGCGTGTGAGAGAGTGGAGGGCTGTTTGGAAACTGAAACCGTATTTGCTGTTAGCAAGAAGGAGACAGCAAGGAGTCTGGGGGTGGGTTAGCTCAGCTCTTCTGGACTAAAGCTGCTTGGTGTTGTGAAAGTGAAACTCCTCTGCTTGTGCTTTGCGTTTGGAAGAGATTTCTTTTCAGGTGGGGACGGGGAGCAGAACTCCTTAGCACCAGAGCATGTTAATAATAATAATAATAATAATAATAATAATAATAATAATAATATAGGAAATACTAATAAGGGGTCTGAGGGTCATTTCGAAAAATCCTTTGTTAGAGAAAAATTATGTTACTCT